GGCATCGACGTGCAGGAGTCGTTCGGCAACGTGGCGCTGCCGACCGCAACCTCGGAGTACTACGTCGACGCGCTCGCCGACGGCGTGACGGCGACCGTCACCATCACGCACCCCGGCTCGGGCGTCATCTTCTGCAACGTGGCGGCGTACACGCCCGACGGCAACCCAGTCCTCCTTCCGGACGGCTCCTACGACCAGCTCGTGCCTGAGCCGTCTGGCCAGAGGAAGACGGTGAGCAAGCAGTTCACCGGGCCGCTGCAGCTGGTGGTTCGTTTCTACAAGAACATCCGGCTGCGGCAAGAGTGGGCGAGCGAGCAGGGCTGGCTGCCAACCATCGAGGTGGACGGCGAGGCCCTGCCCGAGACCTCGCTCGCCGACCGCAAGGCCTTCTCCAGTCGGCTCACCCCGCAGCTCGAGAAAGCGGTTGTGAGCATCGCGCCGGCCGAGCGCACAAAAGAGTCGGAGACCCTAGCCTTCGTGGTCAACGACGGCGCCGGCCTGTACCCCAACCCGCAGAGCAAGTACTCCTTCTTCAACCCCTCCATCCCAGAGGGCAAGAGCGGCGTCAAGATCTCGATGTGCTGGCCGTCGCAAGAGGACAAGTCCAAGTGCAGGCTGCTATTTGGCGACCTGATGGTGACCGACATGCAGACCACCCGGACAGACGCCTCCCTCCCGTCGGACCAGCACGGCGACGACGGCGGGGGCGACTACGGCACGCGGTGGGGCGAGGCCGTCGTCGCCTACATCTACACCGCGCACGCGCCGCTCTCGGAGGAGGCGGTGGAGGCGCTCGCCGCGGAGACGGCCTTCCTGATGCGCTGGAGCGCCGATACGACGGCGCCCGGCATCGTGTACCGCCTCGTGCACAAGCTCGGCGACAGCGAGACGCAAACGGCCATCCACGACCTCCTCGCCTCGGACCAGATCAAAATCGAGTATGTCTGACCGGCGGCCCGGCGGGGCGGGTCCGGGGGGGAGTCTGGGGGGGGGGGGCGCGCTCCTCCGGCGGGGGGTTTCATGAAAAAGAAAGAAAGTATTTGCGAAGACACCGTCAGCAGCCTCCCGTGCCCAGAGCGCAGAGCTCTGGGGGGGAGGCGGGCGCCCCCGGAGGCACCCCGTGCCGCGCGCCGCGCAGCTCTTGGACCTCTTAGGGGCCCCCTAGAGGCTTAAAAGGGTGGGCCCTGGGGCGCCTGCGGCTTAAACGGCTTAAAACCTGCCCGGGCAGGTTTTAAGAGCTGCTGGGCCGCTGATTCCTTAAACGGTCTTAAACGCTTAAACGGTGCGGGAGAGCTCCCGAGGTCGATGGTCCGGGGAGGCTCCCCAGTAGACGGCGCCAGAGGCCGGGAAGCTGGCACAGTCAGCTGGCACGCGTCCCCTATGCGGGTATGGCTCCTGCCAGTGCACCAGACTTACAGATGTGTCTACAGTGGCGGGTTTGTGCCTAATAACGGCAGTATTGGAGAAACCGGCGCGGAACCCAGCGACGCGTGCCGGTGAGGCCGATTTTCTTAAACGGTCTTAAAAGAGGGACCCCCCGTGCCTGCAATCTCTTAAATGACAATTTGAGCCCCCAAACCTCCTCATTTCTTAAAAGGTCTTAAAAAATCCGGCCCTCAGAACCCTAGGGGTACCTAAGGCGCAGCTGTTTAAGCTTTAACATTAACTTTGGGCCTAACAGTTGCGCTAGTGTTGGCTGAAATCCTTAACGTTGTTCAAGTGTTCACCCCAGCCCATGCTGTTACTGTTTGTTACTGTCGTTACTGTTGTTCAGCGGTCAGCAAGCAGAAAATGCCAAAAAACCCGGGTAAAACCCGAAAATACCTGGGGGTTTCCGGGTATTTTCGGGTATTACCCGCAGTCCCGCACTGGACGCTGGAGATCGTCGTGGGTCACTGCCAGGCCTTCCTTATTGTTGTTCAGCCGGCCTAACGTTAGCTACTGTTGTTGGGGAGCCCCACTGTTGTTCTGTTGTTACTGTTAACACTAGCAACACTGTTCAGCTCCCAACGTTAAACAGCTCTACGCGCAGCAGCCTGCGGAAACGGGCCCCCGGCGCTCAGAGACGCTCAGAGCACCGACTTCCCGATTAAGCTGGTTAATCAGAGGGAAGATTTGGAGAGATCTCGAGGAGTACATACAGATAGACCCTCTAACCATCAGAAAACTCCAACCTGATCGGTCGTACTGACCGCCGACAGATCACTTCAGACAGCAGACAGACGTAGACAGGCCGACGTCTGCACGCGGCCGGCCGGGCGAGAGGCTTGACACGATCCGACCCTGCGACCCTGATGCTGCTGCTCTAGCTATCAGACATGCACTGCTGACTGCTGCCACAATGTGCGACCGGTGTGCTGGCCCACGCCACTTGGCGGCCTCCCGGTCAGTGGTGCGAAGGCGCAGTTCAGAGCTGTCAATGGCGCGCGCGATGCTGCACTGGTCCCACATTGGTGACACGAGACCACCAAGTTTGCCGGTCCAAGAGAGAGGCACCGGCGCTGTCCTGAGAAGGTGCATGGCTCTTGACTGCCCATGCGCGCGAGGCTGTGTAGACATAGCCTCGAGAGTGCCAGCAGCCAATCCGAGGCAGTTTGTGACGCGCATTGCGTCAGAAGCGTGCACGCGCTGGAAGGACACCTTCCTACTGGCCGTACGATCAGGATTCAGGTCGTCACTGAATGCTGGATACTAAGGCCGCGAGCTATGCAGGTGATCAATTGTGCAGCAGGGCACGGTCAGCAGCGCCGACAGGCTGTCGCAAGGCGTGATAGCATGGCTGCAAGTACGGCGAATTCCCATGAAAACTAGTGATCTGAGGGAGGGTTTAGAGGATGTAGAGTGTAGAGCGCTGTAGAGCTGTAGAGCTGTAGAGCGCTGTAGAGCTGTAGAGCTCTACATCCGCCGCGGGACGAAGCGCCTGCGTTGTAGAGCGATGTAGAGGCGCTCTACAACGCGAAATATCTACAACAAACTCTACATCATAAGCGGCGAACGAGAGGCACGGTCGCTCTCCGACATGAGGCGCGTTGCACTTGCCAGTGCTGCCCTGGCCTTCTGTCTGCCCGCCCAATGGGTGGGAGGTGCCTCTGCTGCTGTGGCATGCCTCACGGCTGCGACTGGCCGGCGCCTCGACGCGTCAGCTCGGCTCGGCGTAGCGATAGTGGCCAGCGCAACTCGCCTGGACTCAACGCTCAGCCAGGAGCTCCCGCACGCGCTGGCGCGAGGCATGGCGCATGCAACGCGTCTGAATGCTCGCCTCGCCTCGCGCAAATGCGACCGTCCTCGCACACCGCCTGCTAAAGAAGCACTGCGACGAATGCGGCACCGGCGACGCATGGCAGGCTGGTCATGACGCAGTTATAGGGTGTTGTGTGCTGTCAGAGTGACTCTCTGTGTGTTAGGGATAGTCAGGGCCGTCCATCAGAGCTCCAGTAAGCTCAGAGACACCCCATTAGTGCGACTCGACCTCTTTGAGTCACTGCCTTCCCTGCGGTTTGGCTGTAGAGCCTCTACAACAAACTCTACAACAAAATCGCGCTCTACATCGCTCTACAACGCAGGCGCTTCGTCCCGCGGCGGATGTAGAGCTCTACAGCTCTACAGCACTCCAGAGCGCTCTACATCTCTACAACTCTACAGCGCTCTACACTCTACATCCTCTACACCCTCCCTCAGCTAGGTGAAAAATCGCGCAAAAAAATCTCGAAAACTCGGCGCCTGCGGCGGGCTGGGGGACCCCAATCTCCCCCCCGCATGGGTACCCCCTGGGGCCCCCGCCTCCCCCCCCAGAGGCGCAGAGAGAGAGAGAGAGAGAGAGAGAGAGAGAGAGAGAGAGAGAGAGAGAGAGAGAGAGAGAGAGAGAGAGAGAGAGAGAGAGAATGCAGCACATGGAGCACTTGGAGTGTCATCAAAAAGAATTTAAACAAAAGAACTCTCTCTCACAGCAGACAGGCTCGACACAGGACACAGGTGCGAACTGGCGCTGTGCTGCGTGCATCAATCAAAATGAAAGAAAGAAAACTGACAAGCCAAGGGAGCAATGGGAGGGAGTGTCATCAACCGCACGCGCAAGCTGGCCCTTCGAGCACTTGGACTGCAGTTTTTAACCTCACATCCAGGGCCGGGGCGCTATAAATAAATAAAACGGGCACGCCAAACGAGGGGTGGGAGAAGGACAGGGTCCCCACCTGCACGAGCAGGATCTTGTATAAAGGACGATCAGGGACACTTTGAAGCGCACCATGCGGCACGCAACTTCTTATTTCACGCTGACGTGTGCGAGCAAGCGAGGTTTCCACCTCTCTGCCGCTCACCTCCAAAGCACCAAGCGCCAAGCGCCCGCACGTGAATGAGAGTACTCGCGCCGCTCCTGCTCGCGCTCGCCGCTCCGAGCAGGGCTGCCAATCCCAAGAACTCTGGGTGCGTGGTCCAGGCGACGTGGCCCGATGGACGAGTCGAAGACAGGCGCGTGCCTGGCTCCACATGAGCGGCTGCCTAGGCGTTGTGCCAGCTCACACCCTCCCTCCTCGCCCCGGCCCAGGGAGTGCATCGTTGAGGGCGAGGGGCGCAGCGGGCGGAGGTCGTCGGGCCGCGAGGCGATTGGCGCATCGTTTGGGTGGCTCAAAGATACGCGGTGGAACTGGAACAGATGGCGCGACGTCATCTTCCGCGCCGACGGCTCCTTCCTGGCTCCAGCGGAGGGCTGTGAGGCGGAAGGCAATCCAGCGTGCCGGTGGTATACCTCGGAGGACGACGTCATTGTCAAGTGAGACTCGCCACTCTTGAAGCGCCGGCCGCATGCACCACTGACTCAAGCGGTGGCCGCCCCGCTGCACGCAGGTTTGGCGGCGCGGGCCAACACAAGCTCAGCGTGGACTCGGACCGGCGCACGATGTCGGGCTTCCGAGAGTCTGACGGCGACGCGGTCACCGCAGAGCGAGTGAAGTGAGGACTGTGCAAGGGGAGGAGGCGCATTCCGCTCGGCCGCGTGCCGGCGGTCAGAGGCCAGAGGCCACCCATGCCTGCTGCTCGGAGAGGAATGTTTCATCCCACGCCACTGGCTCTAGGTTGAGTGGCGGGACGCGAGTGCGGGCCGGGGACACAGATGTTTCGAGAGCGCTCGGGCCGCTCTGCAACACGCGTTTGTGCGGAGATCGGACGGCCAGGTCGCGTTCGCGAGTACTTTTTCAAGTAGTGACACCGGACGTGCGTCCCCAATATTATCACACAGTGTATCTAAATGAACAACACTCTTTCTCCCCGGGTCGCGAGCGCTCAGACCTCGCAGTGCCGATGGCGCTAACCGCTGTGTGCGGTCCCTGCTCCGTAGCGTCGCTCTCTCTCACGGACACGACGGTCTCGAACTCGTCAAGCTGCTGGCCGCGGTACTCGATCGGGGGCAGCTCCATCGCCAGCGAGACGTGGCGGTCGAACATACCGAGCACGAGCTCTCGCCTCTCCGACGTGCCGCAACCCTCCCCGCCGTCTGCCACCAGCGCCCCGCCATCCGCCCCGCAGCGAGTCCACAGCGTCCGGCGGACAGCGCCGCCATCGGCAAAGACGCGGCGTGGTTCGGCCCGCCGCGGCACCTCCTCGCGGATCGGCGCCTCGCAGGGAGGGACGATGTGCGGAACGAGCACCTCGGGCAGCGGCGGCATCTCCAGCGGCCGCTCGCGCCAGTAGTTGAAGAGCAGCGTGTGGCGGAGGGATGACCGGAGGTGGCAGCGCCCGGAGGCCGCCACCCCTTGCGGTGCAGCCGTCGGCGCGCCTCCCAGGCCGCACACGCCGTGCAGGAGGCTGCCCTCAAAGACCGCCATCGCGCCGGCGTGCGGCCAGACGAGGCTCGCGCGGACCATGCGCCCAAGCGCCTCCGGCGGCCTTTGGTCGAGGACGAGCGTGGGGCCGCCGTGGTCGTCCAGGTACAGCACGACGCTCAGCAGCGGGCTGCGAAGCTCACCGTGCCGCTGCGCATGCTCCTCGTCGCAGTCCCAGTGCAGCTGCATGCTAGAGCCCGTCGGACGTCTCTGCGTCCAGAACTCAAGCCCAGAGCAGCGTCCTGCGGCGGCCGCCACCGCCGCCGGAAGTGCTGCATCGACGTGGGCGACCGTCGCGCGAAGCAGCGCGCCAGGCACCTCTCCACGAGGGAGCCAGTGCGACTCCCGCCACCAGTGCGCCCGGGCGTCGGGCGAGTCGCTCCCTTGCAGCTCGGTCAGCCAGGCTCGCAGCAGCTGGCACGGCAGCGCAGTGGAGGCGACGGCAGCCAGCGGCTGGCCGGAAGCATCGGTGACCATATGCTTTGTAGATGGCAGACGGGGTTCGGCCTCCAACCAGTTAGGGGATAGCTCCGTGCGACGGGGAGGACGCGGCCCTGAGTAGGGTAGTGCCGTACGCTCGTGCTGCAAAAACCTGGCCGGCCCCTGCCCTGCCCCTACCTACCTACCAACCTACCTACCCTACTTATGGGAAACTAAAAAAGAAATCACCTGGGTGAAGGTGGGGTACTATACCAACTAGAGTGATGGTTGGTGGTACTCTCCTGCAACCACAGTCCTTCTTGTGACATGGCAGGCCACTCTCAAGCCCTACAAGCATCAGATCACCCATTTGGGGAGGGTTGACATCGTGATTTCCGCGGAAAATTTCTTTTTCTGCTGTGAAAATTCCAGCGTGGAAGAGGGAAAAACCACGGGAGGGCCCAGACCTACCCTTCCTACCCCGGCATCAGGTCCGAAAAGTAAAAAGAATCCACCCGAGCGTGCCGTCATCTCCTGTCGTCCGTAACCCTGCCATCATACACACACTCACGCCGCGATCGCGAGAATGATTGGATGGGCAACTCGCACTCCTGTCGTCGTCAGAGCCTACTTCCGCCAAGGCGTTCCTCCCAACTCGATGAAGATGGTGCGCCGCGCCTTGAACAGCCCCGTCTCTTTCTCCGTCCTCGATGGTGTCATCTCCGTGTGCGTGACGCTCTGGATCGGAGCAGCGCTCCTGGTATGAGCCACCAATTTAATTCACCAACACAGCCAATCCACTCCGCGGCACTAACTTCAACCGTGCCTCCGTAGCGCGGCGTCCCGCAGGCTTTGCTCAGCGCGGGTCTGGGCGCTTCCGGCGCCTTCTACCTGATGCTCTCAACTTCAATGGCGCTCGGCACCGTGCAGGCAGCGCCGGCCAAAGCGAGCATGAGCAAGAGTACCGCGACTTCGGAAGAAGAAGATGAAGCGATCTTCCTGTGGGGAGGACCTTCGCGGTACACGTACACGGGCTAGAGCCCGCAGCGTGCGAGAC